AGAAAGACAAAAAAGTCTGGATAGTGGATGTGGCAGTGCCTGGAGACAGCAGAATAGACGAGAAAGAACTGGAGAAGGTAACAAAATACAAAGACCTACAAATAGAAATAGAAAGACTGTGGCAAAAGCAAGCAAGGGTAGTACCAATAGTAATAGGCACCTTGGGTGCAATCCCAAAAACAACTGGAGCACCACTTGAACACCATTGGCATTGACAAATTCGCCATTAGTCAAGTGCCAAAAGGCAGCCTTATAGGGAACTGTCATCCTGCGACGATATCTCGTAATACATCAAACACCCAATCTGCCTATCCCAGTCCTGGGTAAGACTCGATAGGTAGACAAAATGCCCAATCAGTCGGAACATCTGGCTGAATGTGCGGATGATCGATAATAATAATAATAATAATAAAATAAGAATAATAATAATAATAAACAAACAATATGAATAATAACCAATAATAATAATAATAATAATAAAGTTGGAAGGGACCTTGGAGGTCATCTAGTCCAACCCCCTGCTCAATCAGGAGACCCTACACCAGACATGTCAAACACAAGGCCCGGGGGCTGGATGCGGCCTGCGAAGTGCTTTCATGTGGCCTGTGAAGCCATCCTGGAAACAGTGAGGGAACGGCCCCCACTACCTTGGCCCTGGCCCAGGCTGGCCAGGAGCCAATGTACAATTTTGAGGTGGCCATCTATGCTGAAACGCATTCAGTCTTAGCTCCACAAGGCCGTCCAGAAACAGCGAGGAACCAGCCCCTGCCGCGTCGGTCCAGTCCCCTGGGTGGATGCTGGGAAGGTGTCACCCTTTGTGAGGAATGAAGAAATGCACCATCGCCTGGAAGTGGCCGGCAAATGGCCCTCGCCTACTTCGCATATCTGGCTTGATGGGCTCTGGGGAAGGGGTTTCGGCAGGCAGCGGGGCGCTCTCCTCACAGCGCCGAGAGGCTGAGCCGGGTGGCGCAAATCTAATGAGAAGTGCAATGCTGCCTCACCCCCAGCCTGCCCAGTTTCAGCAGGCAGCAAGGTGCAAAGCTAGCAAGCTTCGCACCGCCCGGCTCAACCTCTCGGCACTGTGAGGAGAACACGTCGCTGCCTGCCGAGACCGGGCAGGCTGAGGGCTGAGCGGCATTGCTCAGGTAATGTTGACTCTCACGCTGCTCATGGCATCCCCTCCCTCAGAGCCCACCAAGCTAGATAGGTGAAGTAGGTGAGAGCCATGTGCTGGCCACTTCCAGGCGATGGTGCATTTCTTCCTTCCTCACGAAGGGTGACACCTCCCCAGCTGCATTTCGTGCCTGTTTTTCTCCCTCCCTCATCTCAAATATTTTCCCACCACTCTGTTCAGGAAGGAAGGAAGGAAGGAAGGAAGGAAGGAAGGAAGGAAAAAAGGAAGGGGGGAGGGAGGGAGTGATAGGTGAGGGAGAAGAAATAAGGGAGGAAGGGAGGAAGGAAGGAAAAATGGGAGGGAGGGAGGGAGGGAGGGAGGGAGGGAGGGAGGAAGGAAGGAAGGAAGGAAGGAAGGAAGGAAGGAAGGAAGGAGGGAGGGAGTGATAGGTGAGGGAGAAGAAATAAGGGAGGAAGGGAGGAAGGAAGGAAAAATGGGAGGGAGGGAGGGAGGGAGGGAGGGAGGGAGGGAGGAAGGAAGGAAGGAAGGAAAAAAGGAAGGGGGGAGGGAGGGAGTGATAGGTGAGGGAGAAGAAATAAGGGAGGAAGGGAGGAAGGAAGGAAAAATGGGAGGGAGGGAGGGAGGGAGGAAGGAAGGAAGGAAGGAAGGAAGGAAGGAAGGAAGGAAGGAAGGAAGGAAGGAAGGAAGGAAGGAAGGAAGGAAGGAAGGGAGAGGGAGGGTCTGAGGGAAGTCTTGCCTTAGTCCTGCCCTGCTGCCCTTTCATCATCCCCTTGCCCCCTCCTCCTGACCTATCCTGGGGTCTCCCATCCTATTGCTAAGGAAGCTTTGGATACAAAGCCGGGTCTCCTTCCATGGAGACGGAATGGGCCTCCCTCTGACTTTGCCCTCGTACCCATCATGAGCCACCTGGCTAAGGAGAGCAAGCACAGCAGCAGCAGCCTTGAGGAAGAGGTAAGTGTAGCTGGGCACCCCCTTGGGGAAGTGGGGCTGGGCTTGGTGCCGCAGGTGCTCGATGGCCAGGCTGGGCATGTGACCTCTGCTGATCAGGGCTCCCGGCAGGCCGCACCACCATCCAGCCCCCTCCCCACATGGCCTGAGAGGAACAGTGAGGCTCCTCCAGTGGACCATGCCTTGGTGCTTGTCCCAGTCCCACCCCCTTCTGCCAGAGACCCTCAGATCTGTCCCACTCTTGCCCAGGCCCCCACAGGCACCCTTGACGCGAACGATGTAGTGCTGGCCATGCCGATCCATTAGGCCACACCCACTCCATCCACTCACCCAGTAGGCCACACCCACCTGGCCACACACACACACACACACACACACCCGCCCCCCAAGGGCAACCGCAATGCTGATGCGGCCCTCAATGAAATTGAGTTTGACACCCCTGCCCTACACCATTTCAGACAAAGGGCTGTCCATTTTTCTTAAAACCTTCTATGATGGAGCAGCCACAACTGTTCTCACTGTCGGGAAGTTTCTCCTTAGTTCTTGGTTGCTTCTCTCTTTGGTGAGTTTCCATCCGTTGCTTCTTGTCCTGCCTTCAGGCGCTTTGGAGAATAGCTTGACTCCCTCTTCTTTGGGGCAGCCCTGAGATATTGGAACATTGCTATCATGTCCCCCCTCGTCCTTCTCTTCATTAAATTGGACATACACAATTCCAGCAACTGTTCTTCATATATTTTAGCCTCCAGTCCCCTAATCTTCGTTATTGCTCTTCGCTGCACTCTTTCCAGAGTCTCAACATCTTTTTGAAAGATCTTTTTCTTCCACTTTCTATAATAAGGTAGCTTTTTTTGGTTGTTGATTAGAAGTATCTTCTCCCCAGCTTGAGTGAAACACAAACAGAAGCTCACATTGTCACAGAACAAAGGTTATGATGCTCAATCTCTGCCACGGTAAGAGAAATCTAACCAAGATCTCCCTCTGGTTAATGTAGTAGAGCTACACAGATACAAAACACCTCCCCAAGCTTGTGCCCGTTGTCGTTGTCAAGGGAGGAAACATTTATTATCAGAAACCCAAGGACACAAAGAAAGCAGAGGACAATGGATCATCAGAAAAAAAGCCAAGGAACTAATTTATAGGCTCCCATTCGCTGAGTCAAGAGCCTTAAAGAGACAATGCACCACGTAGGTCAACCCAAAGAAACATTTTTTTTAAAAAAAAAAAGGCAAGATAAACAAGGTTGTTGTAAAGGTTAGGACGAGGAATGCATGTTAACCACTTTGAACACAGTATACCAAACAGTAAGGTTCTACATTTAGGCAAGAAAAACCAAATGTACAGATATAGTATAGGGGGTACCTTGCTCAATAGTAGTAACTGTGAGAGGGATCTCGGAGTCCTAGTGGACGATCCCTTAAATAGGAGCCAGCCGTGTGCTGGAGCTGCCCAAAAAGCCAACACAGTGCTGGGCTGCATTAACAGAGGGAGAGAATCAAGATCACATGAAGTATTAATACCACTTTACAAGGCCTTGGTAAGGCCACACTTGGAATACGGCATCCAGTTTTGGTCACCACGATATAAAAAAAGATGTTGAGACTCTCTAGAAAGAGTGCAGAGAAGAGCAACAAAGATGATCAGGGGGCTAAAGCATATAAGGAAAGGCTGCTGGAATTGGGTATGTCTAATAAGGGCAGGCATGTCAAACTGCCAGCCCGCAGGCTGGATGCATCACACTGAAACTGCACCCACCCCATTGCCGGCAATGGGGGAAAAGTCGCGATACGTCCCGCGACGTCATGTCACGTTGCGAGTTTGACATGCCTGGTATAGGGTCTGTTGCTTGACTCAGTGGGGAAGCCAGCAGGAAAGGTTGAAAATCATTCAAATAAGTCTCCCCCACTTAGTAACAATCACCCTGGGCCTAAAATCGCTCACCATGCCACTGCAGCCATTGTGCACCTTCCCCCACCCAGTAGCAGTTACTTCCCTCCCTGTGGGAAGGCTTGTGAACTGGGACTTACAACTTCCTGCTGGCTTCCCCAGTGACTTTGCTTGCTAGAAGCTGGCAGAAAGTTGCAAGGAGGGTCTTTGTTTAACGAAGCATGATTCTCGCTTAATGAGGGCAATGGGGAGGGCCTGGATTGCCATTGCTAAGCAATGCAGTCATGTGACATCACGCTTTACGGCCACATTGCCTAGTGCAGGGGTAGGCAACCTTGGCTCTTTTATGACTGGTGGACTTCAACTCCCAGAATTCCTGAGCCATCACGGCTTGGCTTGGAAACCTCTCCCTTTCCCCTCAGCATGGCTGGCTCAGGAATTCTGGGAGTTGAAGTCCACGAGTCATAAAAGGGTCATGTTTGATGACCCCTACCCTAGGCCTAGAGTCTAGACCAGGGGTAGGCAACCTTGGCTCTTTTAGGACTGGTGGACTTCAACTCCCAGAATTCCTGAGCCAGCATGGAGGAACTATGCCCCCCTCATGGCTTGTGGACTTCAACTCCCAGAATTCCTGAGCCAGCCTGGCTCAGCTTGGAAACCTCTCCCTTTCCCCTCAGCATGGCTGGCTCAGGAATTCTGGGAGTTGAAGTCCACCAGTCATAAAACAGCCAAGGTTGCCTACCCCTGGCCTAGTGACCGAAAATCCACTCCCAATTACAGTCATTAACCGAGGACCACTTGTATATAGACCAAGGATAATTGCTTAAATGCTTCGTTTCATGTAAGGTTAACACCTCTGCACATTCAGGTCTGCTTTTTTTTCAGTAACCAATTTTTTTTTCAATGCAAAATTACCAGAGAGTAACAAACTGCAGCTTTTTTGGGGCGGGGGGGGGGGAATTGAATTGGCAGTGATTAACAAGAAAACTATTCATGTACTTTTTCTCTTTTTTTGTCCTTTTTTTTTGCGCAGATAATTTTCAAGATCAGATGAAGCGGGAGCTGGCCTACCGAGAAGAAATGGTTCAGCAATTACAAATTGTAAGATACTCTGCGGAGTGGCTCTGGATTAAAAATGCACTCATTCTGATATCTGTGACTATTTGCCCTGGTTGGAACAAAGGAATTTGGGGTTTATTTTTTATTTTTATTTTTATTTTGGCGTTAGTGTGACTTTAATTATTTTCTGCCTTTGCATTACTCCTGGCAACTGCCTGCCATTTTTCTGGGCCACCTTTGCAGAAGGAGTTTGCCATTGCCTGCTTTTAAGGGCTGTGAAAGAGAGGCTGGCCCAAAATCATTCAGCTGGCTTCGTGCATAAAGTGGGACTAAAACTTACGGGTCTTCTCATTTCTAGGCTGGTGCCTAAACCACTACAATTAACCCTCAACTTAACGGCCTTAACACAGTCCAGAATTTCCATTGTACATCATGATGGTTATAAGCAGTGGTGGGATTTAGCCGGTTGGCACCAGTTCAGCAGAACCGGTAGCTAATTTTTTATTGCCCACACAGAGAACAACTTCCCACCCACACATCCATGTCACTTCTTGTCAAGGTGATGGAATAGGCATCCCAGTCTCCCAGCACCCTTGCCTGCTTACTTTTTTTACTGCACCCTCTAGCACAGGGGTCTTCCAACCTGGCCTTTTTATGACTGGTGGACTTCAGCTCCCAGAATTCCTCAGCCAGGCACGTGTGCCTGGCTGAGGAATTCTGGGAGCTGAAGTCCACCAGTCATAAAAGGGCCAAGTTGGAAGACCCCTGTTTTAAACCCTACTCTCTCTGTGGCACAAAGTATTTCAAAAACCAACTGGAGAATTCCTTCATTTTCCACAGATCATTCATTGCTCTTTCCCGTGGTCCAGAAATCTCAACAAGATTCATCTCAGCCAAATGATCGACAATGCATATTATAAAAGTCTTTATTACACGACAGGTCATAATCGTGTTTCATTATTGTTACAAGGCAATCTATCTCTGCATTTAGAGCAATAAAATGGGCCAGAAAGGGCAAAGGAGAACATTTAGGTCCAATGGAGGAATCTGCAAACCCAAGAAACGGCTTATATTCTTTATATTCTTCATTGAAGGAATAATCCACCAGGTCTGCGCCACTCCTCAACTACTTTTTACATCAGGAAATGCTATATATAACACAGGGTTCTTCCAACTGGGCCCTGTGATGACTGTGGACTTCATCTCCCAGAATCCCTCAGCCAGGCACCTGTGCCTGGCTGAGGAATTCTGGGAGTTGAAGTCTACAAGTCATCAAAGGGCCAAGTTGGAAGACCCCTATGTTAAAACAGTGCTTTGTGCAATGACCCACCAAAGTAATTGCTCATATATTTGCTTTTTCAGTGAAGAGACCCATGCACAGAAGCTTAACACACACACACACACACACACACACACACACACACACACACACACACACACATCCAGTTGAGCAAATTGTGGGAACAGCGTAGAAAAGTGGAAGCATGATTGCTGTTTATTTCCTCCCGCATCTAGCGGAAAAGAAGGAAGTCTATCGTCACAGTCACTTGTCTGAGATGGCATAGGTTCTCCTGCTTGAGCAGGGGGCTGGACTAGAAGACCTCCCAGGTCCCTTTCCAGCTCTATTCTAGTCTAACCCCTGCTGCAGAAATCCAGTCTGCATTACAATCAAGGGGGGGGGGGTACAAAAATTGGGAACTCAGATGCGCTGCTGCCATCTAGTGGCTGTGCAGAGTCTTGCAGCCTAGATCTGGTTGCCGTGGTGAGTTGGGATGATAGGATGCGGACTTTAACTCCCGGATGTGGACTTCGATTCCCAGAATTCCCCAGAATGCCGGCTGGGGAATTCTGGGAGTTGACGTCCACACTCCTTAAAACTTGCATGAGGTGGAGAAACACTGATTGATAGTGTGTTATCTGAAACGTTGAAAGTGGCAGATGAGAAGAGGATCATAAATCCGCTTTAAACAGATTTGTGAGGGGTGGGGAGAGGGAACACTTTGCTTTGAAAAGGTTCTTGATATGTCCAGAATCATCTAAATTACAGCGTTTCTCAACCTTGACAATTTTAAGGCATGTGGACTTCAACTCCCAGAATTCCACAGCCAGCATTGCTGGCTGTGGAATTCTGGGAGTTGAAGTCCACATGCCTTAAAATTGTCAAGGTTGAGAAACACTGATCTAAAAGTTAAAACTTGAAGTACTCTGTTGTACTACAAGGTGGAGCCTCTGTAGCCCCCTTGACGCAATATGGACTTCAACTCCCAGAATTCCTGAGTCACCATAGCACCCAACTACCCTCTTGGTAGATGGGAGCAAAAAAAAAAAATACAGATTGATTTATTGCAATGTGTCCCCACCTCAGCAAGTTTAAGACATTTGGACTTCAACTCCCAGAATTCCTGAGCCAGCATGACTGGCTCAGGAATTGTGGGAGGTGAAGTCCACAGGGGGTAAAGTTGCCTACAATACTCAATGACATTTTGCACCCTGCTGTTTTTACTTTAGTAAAGGATAATTTTCTACAAGACTACCCCTTTTGTTCGATTATATATTTACTCATTTTAAATGAAATCCGCGCACATTACTCTTATCCACATCAGTCTTATGGTCTACATAATAGGTAGGATTGCCTGTCTGGCAGGATTTTTGGATGCAAACCTCTACTGTGTTTTAATGTGCCTTTTGGTGCTGAATGAGATGTTCCTCTGTTTTCTTTCAGATCCCCTATGCAGCAAGCTTGATCAGGAAAGAAAAACTTGGCACACATCTCAGCAAAAGCTAAAAGGTGAGCTCGTAAGAGAATAGAATAGAATAGAATAGAATAGAATAGAATAGAATAGAATAGAATAGAATAGAATAGAATAGAATGTGGAATGGAATGGAATGTGGAATGGAATGGAATGGAATGGAATGAATAGAATAGAATAGAATAGAATAGAATAGAATAGAATAGAATAGAATAGAATAGAATAGAATAGAATAGAATAGAATGAATAGAATAGAATGTGGAATGGAATAGAATAGAATAGAATAGAATAGAATAGAATAGAATAGAATAGAATAGAATAGAATAGAATAGAATAGAATAGAATAGAATAGATGAAAATGAGTGGAGTAGAATGGAACAGAATGGAGAATAGAGAATAGAGAACAGAACAGAATGGAATGGAATTACTGAATAGACCTTATCCCATTTCGAACAAATGGCTGTCCAGTCTCTTCTTAAAAACTTCCCATGTTGGAGCATTCACCGCTTCTGGAGGCGGGTTGTTCCACTGGTTAATTGTTCTCACTGTCAGGAAGTTTCTCCTTAATTCTAGCTTGCTTCTCTCCTTGATGAGTTTCCATCCATTGCTTCTTGTCCTGCCTTCAGGGGCTTTGGAGAAGAGCTTGACTCCCTCTTCTTTAGGGCAGAATAGTTTGACACCTCCCCTTCTTTGTAGCAGTCTTTTAGATATTGGAACACTGCTATCATGTCCCCCCCCCCCAGTCCTTCTCTTTGTTAGACTAGACATATCCAGCTTCTGCAACCGTTCATGATATGTCATATTTGATCATTTCCTAGACAGATGCTTCCCCCTGTTTTCCAAGTTCATCCCCATAAAGGTACGGGGGAATGGCATGTGGGAATCCCACATACCCTTTCAATCCCTAAGACAATTAAAAGTTGAATCTTAGTAGTTCCTGATTACTGGTACATGGTTATGGACTTTTTAACAAAGCATGGTGTACCGCAACCGTAACAAGAACTGGCTTCTAACAAACTCAATGGGGGAAGCTGGATTCATTTAACGAGCATGGCAAAAAATATCATAACGTTGGACTTGGAGGCTTATCTGTGTTGTCTTTGGTCACCTGAGTAGTGCAAAGGGCGGTGGGGCCTTCTCGGTCCTTTCCGTGGTCCCAAGAAGGCTCCACTCCCATTTGCACCACTCAGGCGACCCCGAGGACACAGAGAGAAACCTCCAACTGGCCTCAACGACTCTCTAAAAAGGATGCAAATGACCAGCAGTCTGCAAGGAGTATCAATCCTTCCATTCCCCACCATCCAGTCAGAGCTGAAGAAGCTTCTTGGATGGGAAGGGAAACGTCTTAAAGAAAAGGCTCCACACCCATTTGTACCACTCAGGTGACCCTGAGGACACAGAGATAAATCTCCAAGTGGCCTCCATGACTCTCTAAAAGGATGCAAATGACCAGCTGTCTGCAAGGAGTATAAATCCTTCCATTCCTCACCATCCAGTCAGAGCTGAAGAAGCTTCTTGGGATGAGAAGCGAAACGTCTTCGAAGAAAAACAAGGAAGTCCAGTTGCCTCGTGAAAAAAGCGCTCTTGGGATAACCATGACATGGTTGACTGAGAATCCCTCTAGACAGTACATGCCAACAGCTCTCTGACTAATTTTATTTTTTTATTTTGACTGACGAAGTTACTCGGAGGAGTAACAAAACATCTCAGATGAACAAACTTCGGCTCAGTCGCCCGCCGTGATTTAACCTTTTGAGATGCTTTTGGCCTGGATGACTGAGTCTCCAGCGACCTACTGCAGCGTTTGTTTTAAACGGATTCAAGGAAAAAAAAGTGGCTTCAGACCAGTGGTTCTCAACCTGTGGGTCGGGACCCCATTTGGGGTCGAACGATCATTTCACGGGGGTCGCCAAACAACGCAGTCCGCCATTTTTTCCCCCTTTTCCTTAGCTGTGCTCCTCCCTTTTATTCTATTGGCTTTTGAAAGCCAATAGAAAAGACTCTCTTGAATAGAGTCTAATTCTATTGGCTTTCAAAAGCCAACAGGAATTGTCCAGGCTGTCTCTGCCCTGCTGAGCCTGCCAAAAGTCCCAGTCTGCCAACGGTGCTGCACCAGTTGAGTAGTCCTCAACTTACGACCGGTTGAGTAGTCCTCGACTTACGACCGGTTGGGGATCGCGGCATTAAAAAGGTTGAGAACCACTGCTTCAGACGTTGGCCCGACCGTATTTCCTTCTTATTGCCTGCAATGTAGGACAGCGAAGAATGAGGTGGGGTGGGGTGGGGGAATAAATCCACTGTTTTGAGTGGTCCTGCTGAACAGTCAGGATGAAATCCATCGCTCTTCTGCCCGGGAGCTGAAATGAAAGGCGCTGTCACAATTCTGCGCGTTTCAACCCTCAATCTCTCCAGAAACGCTGGGATTTGACCGGCAGTCATTTTCTGTTTTGCTGACTCAGCAATGTGGAGAATGCAATAGCAAAGGAAGCTATTCACTCACTGCCCTGTCTTCGGAGTTTGGAAAGAAAAGCCCTCGGCTAAAGATTTTGTCAGGACAGACTTGACTCTTGATGATGAACTTTGGACCTAGACGTGAATCTTTCATTGCTATAATATGGAATTAGGCTGCCACCTTCTCGAGTTTTGCTTAAGGCCCCCGCCCCCCCCCTTGTCTACAGCTTTAAGATCTTCGGGTGGCCTCATGTCTAAGTACTACTAATAATAATAATAATATAACACTCCGGACTTAACAATTGTCGATAAGAAAGACAAAAAAGTCTGGATAGTGGACGTGGCAGTGCCTGGAGACAGCAGAATAGAAGAGAAAGAACTGGAGAAGATAACAAAATACAAAGACCTACAAATAGAAATAGAAAGACTGTGGCAAAAGCAAGCAACGGTAGTACCAATAGTCATAGGCTCCTTGGGTGCAATCCCAAAACAACTGGAGCACCACTTGAACACCATTGGCATTGACAAATTCGCTATTAGTCAGTTGCAAAAGGCGGCCTTATTAGGAACTGCTTCCATCCTGCGACGATACCTGTAATACCATCAAACATCCACATCTGCCTATCCCAGGTCCTTGGGAAGGACTCGATAGGTAGACAAAAGGCCAGATCCAGTCTGAACCTCTGGCTGACTGTGCGATGATCCATAATAGTAATAATAATAATAATAATAATAATAATAATAATAATAATAGTAGTAGTAGTAGTAGTGGTAGTAGTAGTAGTAGTAAAGTTGGAAGGGACCTTGTAGGTCATTTAGTCCAACCCCCTGCTCAGGCAGGATCTGTAATACGAGATCTGTAATACCATCAAACATCCACATCTGCCTATCCCAGGTCCTTGGGAAGGACTTGATAGGTAGACAAAAATGCCAAATCCAGTCTGAACGTCTAGCTGACTGTGCAATGATCAATAATAATAACAATAATAACAACAACAACAGTGACAACAATGACAATAATAATGATGATGATGATGATGATGATGATGATGATGATAATAATAATAATAATAATAATAATAATAATAATAATAATAATAATAATAATAATAATAATAGAGTTGGAAGGAACCTTGGAGGTCTTCTAGTCCAACCCCCTGCTCAGGCAGGAAACCCTATAACATTTCAGACAAATGGCTGTCCAGTCTTTTGATATAATCCCGCTTAGTGTATAATCCCATTTGGAATACTGCATCCAGTTTTAGAATAGGATAGGATAGGATAGGATAGGATAGGATAGGATAGGATAGGATAGGATAGGATAGGATAGGATATTGGAATATACTCTAGTCCAGCCCCCTGCTCAAGCAGGAGAACCAGGGGTGGGATTCAAATATGTGAACAACCGGTTTTCTGTGTGGATGCCGATTCTGGGCCTGGGCAACAAAAAATTAGCTACCGGTTCTGCCAAAGTGGTGCAAACCAGCTGAATCCCACCAGTGAGGAGAACCTATACCATCTCAGACAAGTGACTCTTCCAGTCTCTTCTTAAAAGTCTCCAGTGATGGAGTGCCCGCGATTTCTGAAGGCAAAACTGTTCCACTGGTTAATTGTCCTCACTGTCAGGAAGTTTCTCCTTAATTCCAGGTTTTGTTCAGTATGATATAAAAAAGATGTTTCAGACTCTAGAAAGAGTGCAGAGAAGAGCAACAAAGATTATTAGGGGACTGGAGGCTACACTGTGCAATGAACAGGAACTGGGTACGTCTGGTCCAGTGTTTCTCAACCTTGACAATTTTAAGGCATGTGGACTTCAACTCCCAGCAATGCTGACTGTGGAATTCTGGGAGTTGAAGTCTGGGAGTTGAAGTCCACATGCCTTAAAATTGTCAAGGTTGAGAAACACTGGTCTAGTCTAAGAAAGAAAAGGATGAGGGGTGACAGGATAGCAGTCTTCCAATATCTCAGGGGCTGCCCCAAAGAAGAGGGAGTCAAGCTCTTCTCCAAAGCACCTGAAGGCAGGACAAGAAGCAACGGATGGGAACTAACCAAGGAGAGAAGCAACCTGGAACTAAGGAGAAACTTCCTGACAGTCAGAACAATTAACCAGTGGAACCACCTGCCTCCAGAAGCGGTGAATGCTCCAACACTGGAAGTTTTCAAGAAGAAACTGGACAGCCATTTGGCCACAACCACCCAGTCTGCTATGACCACCACAGCCACGCCTACCCAGTGGGCCATGCCCAGCTGACGGGCACCCAGCTGACCGGCACCCGGCGAGAAATAAGTGGGTTTTGGGTTGCAGTTTGGGCACTCGGTCTCTAAAAGATTCGCCATCGCTGCTCTAGCCCTATCTTACTATGTGAGAAGGAGGCTATTTTTTTCATCTCCCACACTTCCAAGGTCTGTTATTCTGTATTCAGTTTTGGAGACCACTCAAAGTTGGCTCAGCTAGCTGGACTTTAGCTGTGTAGCGAGGTCCATTCGGTGGGCTCAAGGTTTTCTAATATTTCTTTTTCTCTGTCCCTCTAGCAGGACCACAAGACCCTCTTGTCAGAGACTGCTCATCGCTCTGAGTTTGGATGTTTCTAAAGACTGAAAATGGGAGGACCTCGGGCAATTCAAAAAACACAACACAGAAGAAATAAAAACGGCTCTCCTGACGACGTGGCCTCAAAGCTTTATGGACCCACTGTAGACCTGAGAAAGCAGTAGCCATTGATTAAGAACCAAAAGAGAAATTAAAAACCTGGAAACACGTCTTGCATCTTTTTTTGATGGTACCAAAGTTTGGTTGGGTGACTTTAGAAGGACTCCGGAGTGCGATATAAACTGTGGAAAGGCCGTGTGGCTGTCCAGATCGACCCACAAGGCATAGGATCTCCCGGTGCTTCCGATTCCAATGCTATGAAACGCATTTGGGATGTCAGCTCTTCTCCTTCTCCTTCGGCAGAACGATTCTTCTGGAGAATGAGGTCTATAAGCAGACCTGGGGAGAGAGTCATCCTTGGACATATTGATGGAAACGCCCTTAGCCACATCTGGCTCTTTCTAAAAAGAGACTGCAAAACACAACTTTTTCCAAGTTTTTCCCCAGTACTTTGCTTGCTGTACAAATGAAGGTGAATCATTCTTCCGGAAATATTTTACAATGTACGATTGAGTGTAATTAAATAAAAAAAAAAAAAAAAATAAATATAACCACTCAGACTAAAAACAAAACAAAAAAAAAAGAAAGGTATTTAACTCTGTGGTAGTTTCTTTTAACATTCATGTGGATTAAAACAAAGTCTATAATAAAAACGGAAAACTATACGATGTGGCTCCTTTCTCGCGCACGTTTGCTCAACTCCTTCTCTTCTCTTTGTGGGTCACGAACAAAAACACAAAAGGTGTGTTTTTTTTCTGCTTAAAAGGTCTTCGTGGCTACTTTTGGGGTTAACGACCGGAGCAGATTTAAGCTAGTGGAAGGAAGCTAGAAATAGAGGCAGAAACGGCGAATGCTCCAACACTGGAAGTTTTTAAGAAGAGACTGGACAGCCGTTTGTCCGAAATGGTATAGGGTTTCCTGCCTGAGCAGGGAGTTGGACTAGATGACCTCCAAGGTCCCTTCCAACATCATTCTAGAAAAGTGGTAGCAGGCGAGGGGAATGAGCTGAACCGGTGGCAGCACCGCACAAGCCTGAGCGAGAGACGGCTGGAGCTGCAGGGCTGTCGGGGCTCAGTGGAAGCGCCAGGATGAGTGCCACTTTCCAGCTGATCGGGGCTTCTTCGGGGCTGTCAGGGCTCAGTGGAAGCGCCAGGATCAGCGCCAGGCTCCAGCTGGAGCTCGGCGCTGATCCTGGTGCTTCTGCTGAGCGCAGAAGAAGCGCCGATCAGCTAGAATGTTGCAGCCTCTCCAGGGTCTTGTGATTTACATTCAGATGCTTGGCAACCGATTCATATTTATGACGGTCACAGTGTCCCAGGGTCATGTGAAGGGACCAAAACCTGCTGCAACCACCCAGCAGAACGGGGAAATGAAAACCAAACACTCCCCCACCCCACCCCCGCTGCCAATCCTCAACAGAAATGCCCACAACAATGAAAACTTTGGACAGGAGGAAGAGCGCGGCCGGGCGGGCAGGCAGGTGTCTTGCTCGGCTGTGGCTTGGGGGGCACTTTTTTCAGTGCCATTGTAACTTCTAAGAGTCACTAAGCGAACTGTTGTAAGTCGAGGACTACCTGTATTTTATCACTTTTTTCCTTTTGGGGGGGGTCATCAAGTTTTTGACACCTTGCTAGGTGACTGGTGGTACTCGGATGTTGCCATATCCTAAAAGTGGTACAATGGGTGAAAAGGTGGAAAAGCCCTGGAATAGACGGTACCTTGATCAACAGTAGTAACTGTAAGAGGGATCTTGGTGGACGATCACTTGAACCTGAGCCAGCCGTGTGCGGCAGCAGCCAAAAAAGCTAATACAATCTTTGGTTGTATAAACAGAGAGATAGAATCAAGATCACGCGAAATATTGGAAGCACAATTAATAACAATAGCAAACTGTGAGAGGGACCTCAGAGTCCTAGTGGACAATCACCTAAATAGGAGCCAGCCGTGTGCTGCAGCTGCCAAAAAAGCCCACACAATGCTAGGCTGGATTAACAGAGGGATAGATTCAAGATCACGAGAAGTATTAATACCACTTTACAATGCCTTGGTAAGGCCACACTTGGAATACGGCATCCAGTTTTGTTCACCACGATGTAAAACAGATGTTGAGACTCTAGAAAGAGTGCAGAGAAGAGCAACAAAGATGATTAGGAGACTGGAGGCTAAAACATATAAGGAACGATTGCTGGAATTGGATATGTCTAATCTAATGAAGAGAAGGACGAGGGGGGACAGGATAGCAGAGTTCCAGTATCTCAGGGGCTGCCCCAAAGAAGAGGGAGTCAAGCTATTCTCCAAAGCGCCTGAAGGCAGGCCAAGAAGCAACAGATGGAAACTCATCAAGGAGAGAAGCAACCTGGAACTAAGGAGAAACTTCCTGACAGTTAGAACAATTAACCCGTGGAACAACCTGCCTCCAGAAGTGGTGAAAGCTCCAACACTGGAAGTTTTTAAGAAGAGACTGGACAGCCATTTGTCTGGAATGGTATAAGATTTCCTGCCTGAGTAGGGGGTTGGACTAGATGACCTCTAAGGTCCCTCCCCACTCTTTTATTCTGTTATCTATCCTGGGCTATCACTAGGGCTGTTTCTGGAATCTTAAGTAATTTCAAATATACAGTTTTAATTCAATGCCTGCTGGATTCTTTCCTCTGCTTTTCATCCAAGTTCGTGCTTCTTTGTATAAGCAACTCGTGGCTAATGGATTCTCTCTTCTCTCCCATAAGTCCCTTTTAACTTAAAGATGTCACTTCAAAGAGAGTAGCCTTCAAAGGATCCCACGCATAACACAAAGCACTGACACCCTGACATCAAGAGAAATGTCGCAGATGGTTGATTAACATATTTATTAAAGGTGTGTTATCGGGATACCACCTCAGTAATTCCACACCTCATTTATAATCTGGAATTAAGGGGCAACCAGGGTCACCAGCATAAATGCTGTAAGGAAGCCATTATATTAACACTCTAATGTCAAAGCACAATGCTTTGGGATGGATTTACGGGAAACAAAGGCCTTTAAATCCTGTGGCTTTGAGGGGGCTCAGAAAGCAATCAGCCTCGGAAATTATTCACTGTAATGGTTTATGGGAATTTTGTGGTGGCATACATTATTTTTTCCCCAATAAGTAAACATAACACAATAGATAGATGGATGGATAAAGGTAGGTGTCCGTGTGCAGATAGAAAAATAGTTCATTTCCACATTAGGGACTTAGAATGTCATTCAGAGACATCCAAGGATCATTCTCGCTAAGAGAATGGTAATAAAACAGGCTGTTTATCACTTCCGTGATGATGGCTGGATGATCTTATGAAGATGTGGTAAGTCCCTAATAGATAGATAGATAGATAGATAGATAGATAGATAGATAGATAGATAGATAGATAGATAGATAGATAGATAGATAGATAGATAGATAGATAGATAATGAAGAGAGAGAGAGACTAATAGATAAACATGACATAGATAATAGATAAATAGGTGATGGATGGGTGGGTGGGTGGAAGGATGGATAGGGATGATAGAGAGATGATAGACAGATGCTAGATGAGAGAGAGGATAGATAGATAGCTAGATAGATAGATAGATAGATAGATAGATAGATAGATAGATAGATAGATAGATAGATAGATAGATAATGCAGAGAGAGAGAGAGACTAATAGATAAACATGACATAGACAATAAATAGATAAATAGATGATGGATGGGTGGGTGGAAGGATGGATAGGAATGATAGACAGATGATAGATGAGAGAGAGAGAATAGATAGATAGATAGATAGATAGATAGATAGATAGATAGATAGATAATGCAGAGAGAGAGAGACTAATAGATAAACATGACATGGATAAATAGATAATGGATGGGTGGGTGGAAGGATGGATAGGGATGATAGAGAGATGATAGAGATGATAGATGAGAGAGAGAATAGATAGATAGATAGATAGATAGATAGATAGATAGATAGATAGATAGATAGATAGATAGATAGATAATGCAGAGAGAGAGACTAATAGATAAACATGACATAGATGGATAAATAGATGATGGATGGGTGGGTGGAAGGATGGAAAGGGATGATAGAGAGATGATAGATGAGAGGATAGATAGATAGATAGATAGATAGATAGATAGATAGATAGATAATGCAGAGACTGATAGATAAACATGACATAGATTAAATGATAAATAGATGATGGATAGGTGGGTGGAAGGATGGATAGGCATGATAGACAGATGATAGACAGTTGATAGAGAGAGATGGATGTAGAGATGGATGGATGGATGGATGGATGGAATTTCAGCTTCGCAACGAATAACCATCTGAGCCAAATGCAGCGTCTGGAGTAAACAAAACGTATTAGTAAACTTGCCTCCAAAACACAAAATTATCTATTTCTCTTTCCTCCATCCCCCCCCCCCACCCACCCACCCTGGCTTCAGTATGCAAATTCCATATTCTAATGCTGCAGATTCTAGCTAGATCAGACACCTGTTCATCTTTTCCAGCGAGTCTACCTTACCCTCACCACAGACACATTTATATCCCATTTACGCTAATGGAATTCACACAGGGGTATCGAGGAGAGCGAAATATAACTCGGCTCTGCCATCCTCTCAGACCGAATTTCTTAAAGTCTCTTTGCTGATGATGGATCCTAGCAAAGAAAAAAAAAACCAGGCGCTCTTGAGGACATCAATCTGCCTCCCCCCAGCTATCACCCTCTCCCCAATTTCTGCACACACAAATGGGACCCTTTTTTTAAGTGTGGGAGAGGATTATTTCCCACACAGCAGCATCAACCTTGTGAACACTCAAGCTTCCTCTTTCCGCTATGTATTCAAATTGGACAGTGATTAATATGTACTGTATATGTATACTTCTCGTGAAGTGTTAATACCACTTTACAAGGCCTTGGTAAGGCCACACTTGGAATACGGCATCCAGTTTTGGTCACCATGATGTGAAAAAAGATGTTGAGACTCTAGAAAGAGTGCAGAGAAGAGCAACAAAGATGATTAGGGGACTGGAGGCTAAAAGATATAAGGAATGGTTGCTGGAATTGGGTATGTCTATACCCAACATGACATGACATGATAGCAGTGTTTCAGTATCTCAGGGGCTGCCCCAAAGAAGAGGGAGTCAGGCTATTCTCTAAAGCACCCGAAGGCAGGACAAGAAACAACAGAGGGAAACTCATCAAGGAGAGAAGCAACCTAGAACTAAGGAGAAACTTCCTGACAGTGAGAACAATTAACCAGTGGAACCACCTGCCTCCAGAAGCGGTGAATGCTCCAAAACTGGAAGTTTTTAAGAAGAGACTGGACAGCCATTTGTCCAAAATGGTCTAGGGTTTCCTGCCTGAGCAGGGGGTTGGACTAGATCAGTGGTTCTCAACCTGTGGGTCGGGACCCCATTTGGGGTCGAATGACCATTTCACGGGGGTCGCCAAACCACGCTGTCCGCCATTTTTTTCCCTTTTCCCTAGCTGTCCTACTCCCTCTTATTGGTGGCCACACCCACTTGGGGGTCACCACAACATGGGGAACTGTATTATGGGGTCACGGCATTAGAAAGGTTGAGAACGACTGGACTAGATGACCTCCAAGGTCCCTTCCAATTTTATTATTATTGTTATTAAATCATAAAGGTGGAATAAAAA